TTTTTTCTCTGTGTTGTGAAAATACCACACTCTCAAAATAGTTTCTCCTACACCTCTTTTGACAGATCTGCTTAATTTCTGAAGGGGGTGACTCTTCTCTTCTTGATGTTCCACAAGCATTTGATCCAGGCTCTTTACTGGGCTCACTCTCCTTAGGTGTTCTGGTCTGTTCTCATGACCCCAGTTGCCATCCTTGTGCTCAGGGATGTCTTCCCTGAGTTTCAGAGTTTTGTAATAGCTGCTTCATTGTACATCTCCACTCTGGTTCCTCAGTGCAGCATGTCCTTCAAATTCTTTAACTTCTCTTCCCAAACTGCCATGTTTTTGGCACTTCGGCCTCAGTGAATAGACCAACTGTAATAAAAAACTGGGTGACATCCTTAACATCTACTTGCCCATTCCCTGCCTCTATTTAACACTGAGGTCCTGTCTATTGTATCTTCTAAATATATATTGAATCAATCCACCTTACATATTCATTCTGCCACCATCCTTGTCCAAACTATGACATCAGGAGGCAGTATAGAAGAGAAATGTCCCTGGAGCCAGGGTTTACATTATAGCTCTACCGCATGCTACCTTGGGCAAGTCATTTAATCTGTTTATGTTTCTCAACTGTAAACAGAGATGGTAATGCAACAAACCTCGCAGAGTTGCTGTACAAATTAATGACAATACATGTGAAGGCTGAGAAGAGTGCCCAGCACATGGTTAGCTCAAGAAAGTATTAGTTGTGGTTACCTAGATTATCATTGCTATTATTACTGTTTTATTATCACCCACCTTGATAACTGAATCTCTCACATAACTTCATCTCCGTATATTCACGAATACTTCTCTCCAATGTTTTCTTCACGTTTTCTCCAAACTCTTCTTCAAGCAAGAGTTATGGTTCCTAAAGGCAAATCCTATTAGGACACCAGCTTGACTATTCAATTTCCCTCAGGGTAAAGTCCAACTCCCTTAACCTATCTTAAGAGGCTCTTCAGTGCCTAGCTCTTCTCTGCACCTCTCTTGCAACTAGTGCTTTCTGACATCTCTGGTCTTCGCCACATGACTGAAATACTCTTCCTCTTCTACACACATAATTCCTGCTCTCCTGTAAATTCTCCACTGGGTGCCCCTTGTCTCTGTTGGGGAATTATCACTGGAAACAAAATCTTCTCACAGCCTAGAAAACCTCCTCACAAAGGTAGCAGAGACAGAAAACAGTTTTATTATTAAAGAAACATTAAACCAGAATGTGATGTGCACCGCAGGCAATCCCCCAAGAGACTACAAGGACAGGAAGAATTCTCATCCTTGTGGTAGCCAAGCAGATACAACCCATTAATACATGTTTTCAAGATAAATAATAACTAGTCCACAAGTAAGGGAACAGCACCATTTGTCACACAGAGTGAGCCCTAACTTTACCTTGTAAGTGGGGTGACCATCTGTGTTAGCCTATTGGCTTCATCCAGAAGAAAAACAAATTTCTAATATCTTTATAAAGGGAAACAGTTTTGCAATTGGAACAAAGCACCCATCAAAATTAGGCTCCTACCCTCCCACAGACACTGGACTACTGGGGTGCCACCTCCCTTGATGTGTACATTTCAAGGAGATGGATCCCAAGTCCTTGACAAAGACATTCCTGGTCATAAAGCTGACAACAGGCCTATCTAGTTTTCAAAAAGAATTTTTGTTTTTGTTTTGTTAAGAATTTATATACATTTCAAAGAGGAGAAAATAATTACAATTTTTCTAAGGTAAATGCTCTGAGAAAAAGGAAGACACAAAAATTTCTTCCCTTATTTCCAACAGGGAAGATTAAGTCTCTTATTATTCATTTGTATTTGTCCTTACCAGGATAGGTTATGAGCCTGCCATGTCTGCTTAAAAAGCACCCTTTCCTTCCCCTCTTTTGCACTTGAAGCAGCCAGTCAGTATTTAGTTCATTAAATATTTAATGAGTACCTACCAGGTGCCAGATACTGGCCATACTGTGGTTAACAAACTGACATGATCTTACCTGAATGAAGCTTACATTACGTAAGGAAGTTAGACAAATAAATACATAAATAACTGTATAATTAAAAATGTGATAAGTATAAAACAAACATGCTGCTTTCAAATAGAAACATTTTGTTCAAGAACCAATTAATTTTTGAATAAATGCATTTTCAGAGCTCTATAACTTAGGGACGAGCAATTGCTTGGACAAATAAAAAGTAAAAATTAAGAATGGAATTGATCTCGGGGTGGCTACGTGGCTCGTTGGTTGAGTGGCCAACTCTGGGTTTCAGCTGAGATCATGATCACAGTCATGGGATCGAGCCCCACATTGGGCTATGCTCTGACCTTGAACCCTGCTTGGGATATTTGTTCTCTCTCTCTTTCTCTTTCTCTCTCTCCCCACCCCTTCTCCCTGCCCCTCTCTCCTGCTCATACTCTCTAAAATTAAAAAAAGAAAATTAAAAAGGAATAGAATTGATATCTAGCCCCCACAAGAGAGTGACTGCCTGTAATGTGGACTGAATGGATTGACAGTAAGGAAATTAGTTCATTGCTGCCATTGTCTGCAGCCCTCTTTACAGGATAGTAGGATGGTGTAAACAAACTTAAAAAGTGAAATATTATCAGTGCTGATCCAAGTTCAGGCAGTCGAGTTGTGTGGCTTTAAAAGCAGTGTTCTATTTCCTAGGACATTAATTAGGAGAAATATTCAATTCTCTAGATGTTGTTTGACTAGTAACCTTAGCCCAGACCATATATTTCATTGCAGGTGACTTGTGAGAAAGGGTTGAAAATTAGAGATTTACACGAGAGAGAGAGAGAGAGAGAGAGAGAGAGAGAGAGAGAGAGAGAGAGAAAGGCAACACCATAGCCAATTCCAGGTGGCCTATTTCCAAGGGCCCTACCTCTCTGGGCAACATCTGCACCTCATTTTTACTCCCATCCTATATCTCAGCCAAAAATATGTCTCACTGCTCTGAAGATAAATTCCATTCTGCTCTATGCCCTAATCTAACATATATATTTTTTAAATGTTAACTCTGATCCAGCCAAGAAGGCTCCCTCCTTGGAAGATGTAAGGGTGACATAAACAACTCCTCTGAAGCTGACTTTGGTTGTCTGGTGGAACAGCTTTAAAGACGAACACCAGGGGTATTTATCTCTGAAATTACAGTAGTGACCTCCAGCTCTTATTTAGTGGGCATGGGAAGGAAGAATCCAAAGAGAAGCATGATTTTGTGTTTATCAGAATCACCTACAGATACTACAGTTTCTAATTCAGTAGGAGCCTGAGAATTTGTATCTCTAACAATTTTCCAAGTGATGCTAATGCTACTGCTCTAGGGACCAAACTTTGGGGAAAAAAAAAAAACCACTGTATGATGTTAACAGTTGCTAATCTTGACTGCCATTGGAATTATCTAGAGTGCTTTTTTAAAATATTGATGTTGGAGTACTACACTGGACCAATAAAATCAGAATCCCTTGGGATAGGGCCAGCCATCTGCATCTTGTAAAGTGGCACAGAGAAACCAGGGTTGAGACAACTATTTTAGATAAATACCTGGAGAAAGAAAGCAAAGTCAGGGCACCTGGATGGCTCAGTCGGTTAAGTGGCCGACTTCCGACTCAGGTCATGATCGCACAACTCAAAGGCTCATGAGTTCGAGCCCTGCATCGGGCTCTGTACTGACAGCTCAGAGCCTGGAGCCTGCTTCCAATTCTGTCTCCTTCACTCTCTGTCCTTCCTCTGCTCGTGCTCTGTCTCTCTTTCTCAAAAATGAACATTAAAAAAATTAATTAAAAAAAAAGAAAGCAAAGCAATGAGGAGAAAAGTAGAAAGGGTAGTGTGTGAACATCAATGAACATCCTCTCTAAACATGTGGGAAGGTATAAAGTGGAATGACAGCATGGTAGATATGATAATATGGTCCAAGCTTCTTCTATGAAAGATGGAGCAGTGAAGGGGAGTGATTTGTCCAACATTTCAAAGCAGATTAATGGTTAATTTGGATGTTAGCCCACGTTCTCCTAAGTTCCAGTGATTTGTCCTCTCACCAAACTTAGATTTCACCTCTGACATTCTTCAAAACACTTATGAGATATTCATCCTCAGAGATTGGCAAAAAAGACATAAGAATACTATGTGATTAACTCCCATGCTGTGGGATCAGGAACACCAAGGTGGGTCACTTAGTTCAGTCTAATAGGGTAAAGTCATCAGCCAGCATTAACTAATGGAGAGCAAAGGGCAGTTCAGAGAGAAAGGAACAAGCCAAAATATAGAAGATGGTTGGTGAGGAATGTGCCAATCTTTCAGAAGAGCTGCAGCATAAAGAGAGAAGCAGGTAGGGCTCAGATCAAAAAGGACCAGATCTTATAGGTAAAAGGGAGACACTGCACTTTAAATAGTGAGTATGAAATAACAGAATAAGATTTGCATTTTAGATATTTCACTTTGTCAGTAGTGAAGTTGGTTTGAGGAGAGCTAGTCTGCAGGCAGGAGAATGCTTAAGGTACTGCTGAAACAGTTCAGGAGATATGTAAGGATAAAACTTAGGGACTAGGAAGAAACAATGGATTTGAGAGACTTTGAGAACTGAATACCCCAAGATTTAGTGACTGATTTGAGATGGCATATGGGAGAGGTGGGTGGATTGAGCATGATGCCCACTGCTCTGGACTGATCAAGGAGCAGCAGTTGCACTGAGAACTGAAGGGTCTGTAGTTTATCCAAGTGGAGATGTCTAGTATCTGCTGGACAAGAGAAAAACTGTTTACAATTCCCATTCAGAGAGAAAGTTAGAATCACAAGCAATGCAATCATGGACACTTGGGGGGATGCCAGCATTTCAGGGAAAGGCAGATAAGATGGGTCAATTAAAGAGAACAAGCCTGTAGTGGAACAAAAGTACTCATGTATGAGTCAGCACCCCTCTACATGGCTTTTCCTCTATTTCTCATCCATGCTTTAAGAAGAAACCAGTATTTGGCCTCTCATTTCTTGTTTCTTCCCCTTTCCAAAATAGTAGAGAAACAAAAGGCAAGCAAATCAATATAATAAAGAGATGGATGAAAAAGAACCTCCCATCTAGAGCTCCAGAAGAGAATTTTGGAGACTGTGGTATGAGAGGATCCAGATCAGCTGTGTGATTTAAGATTTAAGGAAACTTATGAGTATTCTAGGAGTCTTTGGTAAGTGTGGTGAATCAGATTCCCTTTAATATTCTTTGAGGGATGTAAGGCTAAGTTGCTTTTACCTGTTGCTCTGGGCATCTCTGAAAAGTCTCTGCATTGAGACTGAGCAACATGACATGACAGATTTACCAGAATTTTAAGAAGGAATCATCAGGGAGGTAGGAGGCACACAGGATAAAGTAATGCCACAGAAACCAATGACACAAGGGAGCAGTCCACAGCCCTGTGTGTTGCTGAGAGATCAGATGAGCACAGTTAACTTCTGCCAATGTAGGTTTCGGAAGAGTTGAGAATCAGAAGTCAATGGGCCAAGAATAAATGGGAGATGACGAAGTAGGGCAATGAGTTCAATCTACTCTAACAAAAAGCTTGACTGATACAGAGAAGAATTCGAAGTAGCTCATGGGAAATAAGAAGACCATTTGAAGTGAAACATCAGTTTATGCATGTTCTAAGTGATTGATCTGAGCAGGTATTTTCAATTCAAATGCTTTGATTCTCTCTTGCTCAGTAGTCAGAGGCCAGCTCCTCTTCCCTGATGATTTAATCTCAGAGCCACTTCCCTCATTGTTGGTCAACCATACATTACTTTCATGGAATAATGCTAAAGGAGGAGTAGCAAATTAGAAAGAATTGGGCTTTTATACAAGAATATTTGGAAGAGGACTTCCCATGTTTTGTCCTATGTACTCACTAGAGCAGTTTTGTTTGATTTTTTCTTTTTCTTTTTTTTAGCTTAGAAAGTTCCCTTACAAAAATTACAGAACGTCAAAAATGAAGTCATCTGACTTCAATTCTCTTTTAATTAAAACGTTTTAAAGTATATCTACCTATTCAGTATACAGTAATCATGGTGTCCCTATACAGGCTAGCATTTGTGCATACTAGGTCTCGAGCTTATCCTGAATGAGGCAATAACTTCTTTACAGAGGAAGATTTACCTATAAGGAGAAAAGTTAAACCCATGACCATCCTTACGTTCCTACTTGAAAATTCAAAACGCTCTTCTTTGAGGATTTCTAGTCAAGATCAGCTTGCCTGAAAATAGATTTGACAATAGTGTGCTACAAAAGTAGCAAATTATCTTTAAATTATTGTAGTAGAGCTGACAGTCTGCTATTAGACATCCATTTGTTAGGGTTTGGTATCTTCCTGCCTCAAAATGTCTGATTAGTGCTACACTAAATGTGATCTATAGAATAGGGGCCCAGGCCACACCAGGAATGTGTCAGAAATGCTAATTTTCCCATCTCACTCTAGATCTGCTGAATCGGAACTGCTGGAGGGTAAGGCCCAAGAATCTGCATTTTAACAAGGTCTCCGTGTGGTTCTCTGATCTGCTGAAGCGTAGGAAGTGCTGTTGTAGGCTCCTGGGACAGATCCCTGTCGTTTGTGTGTGACGTGTCTTCCTTTGCCCCTCCAGCTCCACAACCCTGCATTCTCAAGACCGCTGTGTCTTAAGAAGCTGATCTGTATTGATAATACCAGCAGTGTCCTCTGGGGTTTAACTGATAGAAGGCACCAAAAGGAGATGAACGTTCAAAGGGTGAGGTAGACATTTATTTTTCCCCAATGCCGTTCCCACAAGGTCATCAGGACCGTCAGATTCCTTTACTGCAGGTCATGGCTTCCTAACATCGGCCTTCTCTCCACAGCTCTCCCTGACTCAGTCTCCTCTCCCCTCTTCTTGCTTCCTGGTGCCAATGACTTGCCCACCACTATTAACGGCCCCAGGAAGCTGCAATGTCCTTTCTCTGTGATTCAACTCAATCCAACTGATAATATGTAAATAGTCATTTTATGATACTGTCTTCAAATCACCCAACTTAAGTGTGCCATCTGTTTCCCTTCAGGACCCTGACTGACAAAATCCATAGGTTCCCAATGCCTAGCATAAAGGTTAATAACTATTTACAGAATAAAGGAATATATATATGAAAAGGAGTAACCCACCTCATGAACATCAGTTATTAGTAGCTTAGTGACTTTATAAGGTTTTTTAAATGCCATCCAACAGGCTAATTTGAAAACAGGATATGGATTTTGACAGGCATGACGTCCAGAGCACTGGCTTTGGCAAGTATCAGCATGAACACAACCCCACTGCATTAAGTGGCAGGTGACTGATCTCAAAGAGCATCAAACTTCACTGCCCTCACCCTGTTTTAGTTTTGAACACAACCACAAAGGAGGGAAAGACATGGTAGACAATTCAAAAGTAATGAATAAACCTTCAGGAATTAGCAAGGATGGTTGGTGGGAAAAGAGAATCTTATGGCAATAAATTAAATCCTGGCTCTTTGGGGAGGTAAAAAAAAAAAAAAAAAAAAAAAGTCTAACGGGTGAATGCTTAAGATGTGACAATATTAGGGACAAAACTCTAATGCTTGAAATGGTGCCATGTGTGTATTATTATTCAACAGGCCATTTTCTTTGATCAAAGAAGAGACCTACAAATATTACCATCCCTATCTTAATAGAATGGAATATTTATACTTGTTAACCGACCTATGGTACACTCCCTAGCCTTTGCCAGTATTGGAAACCACAGGGACTATGAATCAAAAAGCCTCAGAAAACTTAGCAGTTTGGGACCAGTGCACAACTCCTCCTCCATACTCCATCACCTGGTTTTATTTCCCCCAGCTAAAGCACTTCTGTAAGCCATCTGTAAGCACTTATCACTGTATACACAAACACAAATAGACTATGGACATTGTTTAGAGTTATGATATCCTGGCTATGTATCCTATAGATTTTTAAAATTCTTTTCTAAGAGCAACTGGATTTACCAATTAGCTTATCCAAACAGACAATCCTGGGAAGTTTTTTGTTTTTGTTTTTGTTTTGTTTTTTAATTTTTTTTTTCAACGTTTATTTATTTTTGGGACAGAGAGAGACAGAGCATGAACGGGGGAGGGGCAGAGAGAGAGGGAGACACAGAATCGGAAACAGGCTCCAGGCTCCGAGCCGTCAGCCCAGAGCCTGACGCGGGGCTCAAACTCACGGACCGCGAGATCGTGACCTGGCTGAAGTCGGACGCTTAACCGACTGCGCCACCCAGGCGCCCCGTGTTTTTTTTTTTAAACAAAGTTTCCGTCTGCAGCATAATGTTGTTATACCCAGACTTGCTTCCCTCATCACTGCTTTCACCCAATGTTCCCTCAACACATCTTGATTGAACTCTTCAAATTTCTATTCTGGCTCACCACATGTCAAATCTTGCTAAGCAAATGGAGAAACAACACTCAACATATCTCTTCCTGTCAACGGCAACATCTGTGTTCAAGTCATTAAAGACTAGAACCTGCATTTCATCCCACTGTTTACTCTCATATCAAACTCCGCAAGGAATGTACAGAAGAACTTTCCCTTATTATTATGGACTGAGGTATGCAAGGGCTCAGAATCAGTGCTCTTGTGTTCAGTATCTTGTGCCTTGATTACTAATTAAAGTAACTAATCTCCAACTAATTCTTCAATCACATGATGCATGTCTTGCCTGAGAGAATGCAAATTTAGCTACTCTGCCAGACACAGTATACCTTCTACTGAAGATGGGGAAATTGTAGTCACTAGTACGAAATGTCATCTTAAGTCATTTTAACCCCAGAATAGTAGTTTCTACATCTGTACCTAAGTTTTTATATATTTGTCTCTGCAAGGATTATTTCTACTTGAAGACACCGAGTGTCAGGAGATTCAAGTTCTCAAAGCAGAAAGTTACTAAAGCCAAAATATTTACTGTGCCCAAGAAATGACACCTAGTCCAGGAAGAAATGAAAACGTTTGGGTAGCTAGTAATTTGCAATATTTTGAAACCCACCTGAATAAATTGTGAATGAAGGAATCACCCCCTTCATCTAAAAAGCTTAGTAGAAGAGTTACTTTATATACATTTGAAAGGAAGCCTTTGCGTTTTAAAAAATCAGTAGGAAAGAAATATTGACAACAGTTGGTTGTATGTGCAGGTTTCATCTCCTCAGTATATTCTATTCACTATATACTAAGTGACCATCATATCAGATTATTCTGTTGGAAAATTCAGTCACTTCAAACTCAGCAAACCCAAAATAGATCTGATCACTCCTCCCCTTCCACTATTCTCTTATCTTCATTGTTAGCTCTGTGAATGGTAATCTACTTACCCAGAGGCCCAAAGCAAAACTTCTACTTATCACACTCAGATCCTTCACTTTTTATTCTTCTCAACTGCCAATGACTTCATTTCGTTCCTCAACATTTCTCACCTGCATGAGTGAAAAACCCTTCTCATTAGTCTTTCTGATCCCAGACTATTTGCCTTTTCATTAATTCTCCATATGTAAGTCAAACTGGTTTTCTGAAAATACAAATATGATTCTTGGCTTAAATGTCTTCCAATGGCTCTTCATAATCTTTCAGTGATTCTTCAAAAAATCCAAACCCCTTATTATGGCACACAAACTTCTTTATTACCTGGGTCCAGCCTATACCTTCAGCCTTTTTCTTGCTACTTTCCAACTCTCATTTATTCTCAAACTGTAACGAAGTAACAGTTTTTCTGAACAGGGCCTGGTGTCTCTCTCTCTGGCTTTCACATACTAGCTTGGATCTGTCTGAACTGAGACGTCTCTGACCCCAAAGCACATTTGGCAACGTTTGGAGACACTTTTGATTGTCAGGATTGAGAGGGGTACCACCGACACGTACAGGACAGCCTCCCTCAATAAAGAATTATCCAGCCCAAAATGTCAACAGTTCTCTGGCTGAGAACTTTAACCTGGCCCCTCTTCCACTGTGTGACAGAAACTAATTATTTATGGTATTTATTCTTCATCTTTCAGTAATCAAACCTCCCAAGTTTTAGCTGGGCACACAGAATCTTATCTGGACTATATTCCCCAGCTTCTACTGCACCCAAGTGTAGGCATTTGTGTGAACCCAAGTCGGTTACCCTTGGAAAGGCTCCCTGTAAGGTTGACTCTTGGCTGGCATCTGGAAACTCAGATGTCAGGAGAGTTGCCACCAGTCCCTGTAAAGAGTGGCTCACTGTGCCCAAATTGCATTATTTTAATGCAATTTTATATATATTATATATATTTTATAATATATATATTAATATATATTATATATATATTTTATATAGGTTATGCTGAACACCTGCTTTGATTGTAATAAATCTTGGCCATGAATAAGGCTATATGCTGAGACCTATTGACACTTCTAGTGACTCACTAACACTAGCAAGAAGTCTGGGGACACCTAACAAAACATGCAACTAAGTTCTGGCCAGTGAGAAGTGAAGAGAAGTCAACTTCTGGGTCACATCCTTTAAATAAATTGTTGGCTCTTCTTCTTTCCCTCCCCCTACAGCTGGATTGTTGATGTAGTACTCACCAGTCAACTTCAGTCAGGTGGAGAATGACCATATCCTAGAGCAGAGATTGGCAAACTTTTTCTGTGAAGAGGTCATATGGTCTGCATGGAAACTAATTATCTCTGCCATTGTAGCATTAAAGCCACCACAGACAATACTTAAATGAATGTGTTCAGCTGTGTGCCAATAAAACTTTATTTACAAAAACAGGAGGTGGGTTATTTTGCCTCTGGGTCATAATTTGCCAATGCCTGCCCTAGAGGACAGAGATAGATGTTAAGAGATAATTCTCCATGGATTTAACTTTTCTGCTGATCTGGTGAGCAAAGGCATTGACTACCTTTGTTCCAAATGTGGGGTTTTTTTTTTTTTCCTTCTTTTCAAGGACATCGTGTTGCAAACATCTTTAGAAGATAGAGATAGTATCTCCATCCAGAGCGAAGGACAAGTCTGTTAACTATCCAGGATAATAAAGATAATGTCTTCCTTTGGGGTAAAAGTCAGATGGACGTAATGCCAATTATGAAAGATTTGGTTTCCTAAATATGGGGTTCCTCTCTTGTAAAGTAACTGTTCGCTGTTACAAGTATCTCCTGCCCCTTTTAGGGTGCCCTGAGAGATTTGCGACTCAGGTAACAGGAGCCAATGCCGATACTCTGGCTGCTGCTACTGCCAAAAATAGCGTACAGTCATTTGTCTCTGAATTAGGAGTCTTGTGTCTATTCCCATCCATGAAACTGTGGCATGCTAAATTGTCTGAGGCAGTGTGGAGCAATTTAGTCCATACCTTAATATTCCTTGGCTAATTCTAAATCCTCCTTCAATTCATAAGTTAGAGTTCATTACCTAAAGGAAACGGCCTATGACATAACCCAACCGCTCGCACACAATAGCTACACAAATTCCAGAAGAGTCATTCCTAAGCATTTCCACTTCATCATATATATCAAAACAAGTACTTTTCTGAATTATTGTCCTCCCACCCATTCACTGAGAGCAAGCTGAGAGCAAGGATTGCTCATCCCCGTATCTTCAATCCCTATCACCGTGACTACCATATAGCAGGACTCAAAACATACTTGTTGATATAGTGAATCAAGTACACCTTGCTTCTTATTCTCTCCACTACTCATTCCATGCAGTGTATTCTCTCCACTACTTATTCTCTCCACTACTCATTCCTGGCAGTCAAATGAATGAAGGCAGTATTACTTATCCAGGAAGACCTTTCCCAAAGTCTTCTAGTCTCTAAGCTGCATCTCAAAAGGATACTCACTTTCGGGGTTTACATGTCTCACTTTGGGGGTGTACTTGTTCTAGACCTTAAATAACATTTAATGCAATTAAACAGGATATACACTGAAAGGACATTTATATCTCATTCCTAGAATCAGGTCCAGCATTTTTAAATTTTATCAAATAAAATTTGTGTTCATTTATCAAAGAATCATGCTTCCCCCTTTGTGAAAATAAGGATACTATAAATGTCCCAATAATTCAGGTGTTGTCTCTTTTAGGAGTATTTTCTAATGTAGCCAAGGAACAAATGGTACCCAATGGGATTTGTTTTGCTTGTGAGAGACAAAACTGCTCACTCTTTGGCCAGAATATCTGGCTCTCATACATACTCCAAACTCCAAATCCTGTTCCACTGTGCACATTCAGTATCTCTACAATGGAGTTCCAAACACCTTCCAATAAATCCTCCTCTATTTATAAAACAACAACAACAACAACAAAAACAGAAACAAAAACCAAAAACAGCCCCACTGGGCATGTTAAAGCTATGGTTGCTTACTTACACAATTGTTCTTCCCTTTTCTCATAGCCATGCCTCAGTGTTAATCCTTTAGTGAACTCACCCCAAACGTGTGTGAGACACAGGCTTGGTCATAACTTGGAACCATCAGGTACAACTCAAAACATGTTTTAAGGGTAGATTGTCCAAGTGCAAAGGTCTGCACTTGGTCTGCACAAACTTCCTTGTGACCAACTGTGTTGTCTCCTGCAGTTCTGATTATATTACCCATATGAAGCACTGTCTGGTTCTAAATACTGACATTGTTCCCATCATGGATATCTTTCTTGGCACCTGTCTTCAACACTGAGATTGCATTGGCCCCTTCATAGGTCCGTGAGGGAGTTCCTGAGCCTGTTTCTGGCCTCAGGAGCTCCTGAAGCTGCCAATATATCTCCTTTGGATGTCAATTGTTGGTGGCTTATTGTTTCATATTTTGAAATAGATTAATAAAAGGCCACCAAGACTTTTTGAAACACAAGATGAATGTGAATTACATATATGAATGTGAATTGCATCTTAACGGACTAGACCATTCATGAGACAAAAGGAACATATGTTATATGAAAGTTATATGAAAGGGACTGGGAAAAGCCATGGGTAGAAATGGATCTGATCACAAGCAGACAATATCCAGCACAATAATATAAAATTATTGGCTGAAAGAAAATGTTGTAATGTTGAAGGAGCATATGGTGTTTTGGCCAAAGTTCATGAGAATCAGGAATGTCATCCTTGGACCCAAAGAGCAGAGTTAAATAGGGACTTAGATTATTTGAATCTGTATCAAATAGAAATCTTACTTCTTTTCTTGTACCAAATAAAAAGATAATAAAAGATGTGAGGCAACATAATAAACCTAATCTAATAATAATAAATAATAAATAAATAAACCTAGACTATTGTCCAATGCTTTACCTAGTTCACTATTTTCTACTATCTGAATGAATTCAGATAATTTTCTTGCATAAAAAGTCTTCATTATCCATCCACTGTTCAGCTTCTACCCATCCTATAAGCCTACCATAAATCTGTTTCTGCTTGAAAGCATAGCCATAGCTCTCCCTTTCAATTCCATGTTCACAGACCTTGTCCGCCACTCACAATTAGGGCCTTCATGACACTCTGCCTTATGTTACTCAATATTCCTTTACAAGAATTATTTTTATCATTTCACTTTGGTGATAAGCTTCTTGAGATCAGAAGCTCTCACTAAAGAAGTTAACTTAGCACAGTTATATTGCAGCTGCTCATTAAATACTTGTTTATTGGTAAGGTTTTAAACACTGCAGAGTGAACAAAAGCAAGAACATAATGCATTCCATCTACAATGGACATGAACAATGTGAAGGCCAATATGTATGGTAGCTGGGGCCTTCCCAAAGAGGTTCAGTGCTTTCACCCAAGAAGTTCCCAGGATGTCAAGCCTGGAGTCAGAGTTCCTAGGACAGCAGCTCCCTGGATATTCCCTTTCTTGAGCTCTGAAGTCAGTAGAAAGGAATATCCAAGGACCCCAAAATTCTCTGTCCAGAAGGAAAACCCACCGTGTGAGGGGCCACCTTAGAAGACAGGCAACAGACTTCAACAAATGTCTTCAGTGACCCAAGCACGAGTGGGACATTCGTCAGTTCTTGGATCCCAGCACAAGGCTGTGCAGGGTGGGTCACGTGGGGCCTGAGAAAAACCAGATGCTTGGGAAAGAAGTAACAGGAGATACTGGAAATACTGTACGGTCTAGACTGAATGCTTCAGTGGTCTGGAGATAAACAAAGTAGGCCAAGGGTGAAATGTGTGATCTCAGTCAGCTTTACCCATGAGAGTTCCAGCTCCTATCTTCAGGAAACAGCTAAGGCTCATTTATGTGACCACAGGCAAACTTGGCATGTGCTATACTCACTTTCTTTTAGTCTAATCGGTGTATTTGATTTTTTGGATGGCACATTCCTGTTGCAAGCATTTCCCCAGATTTGAGGGCCTGATCTGGGGGCATATGGAAAGGAACTCTCCACAGCCATTTCCTTCCTGCAGAAGGTGCTGACCAAGATGCCCTCCACTGTCAAGGAAGGATAGGTATTTGGGGGCTGGGCTCCAGCTGTTAGCTCTCCTTAGATGTCACCTGGCAGATCAGTATTGATGTTCTGCATGTTCACTGGGGATAGATTTGCAAAGTTTCAGGGAGAACTGGCTGGTTCCAGGACAGACACAAGATTAATGCTTTAGGTGCCTTATCCGGATGATGTCAGAGAATGTTAGTAGCATTCACAAAAACACAAGAGAACATCAACACACATCTCTCACTTGACAAACCAGGAAAACAATGCTTCAAAACTGGTGCCTTCAAACTTGCCTCGATACTGCTTCCTTCCCAAGAAATTATGAGGATCCATCCGGGCTCTGGTGCTGTCAGAGCAAGGGCTCTGTCCAGCTGGGCTCACTGGCCTGTGCATAAGATGTTGCCAGAGCACTGTCCCAGCATTCCCAGGGTGAGTTCCTGGGTTGGCTTTGTTTCCAGTCATCCTACTTCTGACCCTCACTTTGATCCTTTGGATCATGTCCCACTTAGCTCCTCCAGCCTGATGAACTTTTTGATTTATTAATCTTTTGAGTCAACTTAACTGGACTTTTAATTAACTTTCTTCCTGTCTCTTGATAGTCCTAGGCAAGCCTCCATTGACACCCTTCCAGAACCCCCACCCAAGCTTGCAGACTCCTCTGGACAGCCCTGATTGGAGATTAACTAACTGCACAGTCCCACCCTCACCATAACTTTGCACGGCAAGGCTGTAGGAGGTAGGTCTGCAGCAACAGATGTGTAATCAAACTATACAGAAAGCTAAGGTCTTATGTAGTAAAACTATTATAATATTTAATCTTATCTGCTCAAATTAATGTTGAAACCACCAAGCCCTTTGAGGACCACAGGTGACAAGTGTCAAAGAAGGCAACTCCAATTGACCTCAGGGGCAAGTAAACTTTTAACTTCCTGGAAAAAATCCAGGCTTGAGATCCCAGGCTTACAAATGAAATTCAAAGTTAGGCTTGTGACCTATGAACACAGTGGCAGTGTATAGAATGAAAAAACTGAAGAGATGCAAGTCTTCTAAAAAAAAATGGAGAAATTATATCCACATGAACATAATTTAAGTAAGTGCTCTGAGCACTAATGCAATGCTGTTCAGATTGTCAGTTTTTAAGGCACCTTATTCAAATACCTGAGTCTACATTCCAAGATAAATTCCATTTTTCATGCCTCTCATCCATAGTATGGGAAGCTAAGGATTTTAAGTAAGCAGTAATGTTTTTCTTTGTTTCAAGTTGGTATTTATTTATTTATTGTGCCCAGCATTGGGTCTGTGCTGTTTCTGTCTGCTCAGTGGAGAGAATAAAGCATCTCATAGTTTCTT